ATCAGTTTTAGAGGTAGTTCCTGGAAGGAAAAAAAAGAAAACCTGCTAACAATTAGCAGTATTTTTGTGTGGATTAATCATCCCTGTATTCAGGGGGTAGCTGAAGGAAGGCTTCACTAAGGAATTAAGATTGAGAATTCTAAAAGAAAAAAGCAGATGCATGATGGCAGGACATCATGCCATGCAAAAGAAGTGGCATGTACAAAGGCATTAACATGTGAAGAAGTGGGGTGTGTCTAGGGATCCACAGGAAGTTTCATTTGGCTGGGGAATATGTTGTCTATGGGAAAAGGATGGGAAAGGGAAGGTAAGTAGCAGGTAGATTGTGAAGAACCTTGTAGGCCACACTCAGTAGTTTGGATTTAATGGAAGTGGGTAATCATGAAAGAATTTTGTCAGCAAGTGGATGACATGATTTTTAAAAAAACACTTCTGGTGGGGCGGCATCGGAGATGGACTGGGACCAGCTGGGAGACCTGCAGTGGCCCACATGAAGGCTTAAGTTAAAGCAGTGATGGAGAGTGTGGAGAGGAGAGGAGATGCCGAAGGCCTTTACAAGGTAGAGTAGATAGAACTTGAGCTATTGCATGGTGGTTGATGAGAAATAAATCAAAGATAACAGGATCCTAGCTTGGGGGGCTGAAAGGATGGTGTCACCATTATTTGTGATAAGGAATATAGAATAACAGATGGAAAAGGTAATTTATTTTCCTAAGTGTTAAATTTGAGGTATCTGTTGGATATCCCAGTATAGACACTCAATGGGAAGTTGGAAATAGTGATACAGAGCCCACAGGAGAAGTTAGGTTTAAATATAGAGATTTGAGAATCTTCCTCATTTAGTAGAAAAAGAAATGAATGAGATCACCTGCAAGAGCACAGTGAGTGAGAAGGAAAGAGAACAAAGTACTGAACCCCAATATATACATGGGTAATTAGACATAGACACACAAAGAAGGGCTGTCCAAAAACAAAACCTAATGCTTTTACCTCCACTCCCCAACAAAGCTCAGAGAGGTAGAAAGAACTAGGGGAAACTGACATCTTGGAAGGCACAGGAAGAGAAGTGTCTGGAAGGAAAGAATCCCAAGTCAGAAGTTGCACAATGGTGAGTAAAGGTGAGCTTGGCAGAGGGCGTTTAGGGATTGTAGTTCAGTCTTTGATGACTTTGGGGACCCAGTATCGGTTGAATAATGGGGTAGAAGCCAGGTTACAATGCCTAGAGGAGAAAAGTTTCCTGATAGAGAGGACATAGTCATCTACAGGAAGATGTGGGACCCAGGAAGATGTCTTCTTTCTCTTATAATTAAATACCTATAGCTGAGGGTAAATGAGCTGGGAGAAGGAAGGAGAGATTAATAATCAGTTTGTTGGCAAGAGGTTAACTTAGTTTTAATTTTCGAAGGAAATTCTGAAAGTATGTCTTTTGTCAAGTGTACAGTTAAAAACTACCTTTTAAATAATTGATACGATTTTGCTAAAATCAATATATTAGTAACTTCTGAGCTAGCCATGGGACCTGTAGGATTTTTCTCTAATCATTTTCAAATTATAAAAAACACATCAAGGGGTAACAGTTGCTTAAAAGAGAAATAAGTAGATCAAGGACTGTGATCTCTGCTTCCCAGTGACTAAAAAATGTCACTTTCTCATAACCTCATTTTTTTTAATGAATTGGGATTTTTTGCTTGAATGGATTTTATAAGTATCCCACTCACCTTTATTTATCTAAAATGTGACATTTGAGAAAATATGGGAGAGAGATTGATATTTCAGAACATCACTTATCTTTATCATTGACGTATGGATGACAACACTGTTTGAAAAGATTGCCTAGATGTCTGGAATGTTTTTCAGTAGGGAGGCTGGGTAGGATATTTGTCCCTTGGTTGTTCTACCTCTTTTCCAAAACATATCATTGTATATCACAGATAGGATCTTTAAAAAGCATATGAGAGGTAATCTGCTGTATTGGATGTTTGATTACCACTTACATCTTTAGGATTTTCTAAGCTGTTGAGATATTTTAATGAATTGAGGGAGAGGACTGTGATTAAGATTATGCAAAAAAAGGTTGGGATCGATTCACAGGGTTTGGGACCATTTTGGTTTCTCCTTTTGCTTTACATTAAATAGGCTTAATGTTATTGATGCTCAAGGGAAAGTCAAGTAATTAGGAAAGAGGAAAGCAGGAGTCAAACTCTGAAATGAATCAATATACTATGGAGAAGGCAGTGTTGTGGTTGGTAGTTGAAAATCAAAGGAGTAGCACATGGAATTTCTAGAGAAAATTAGTACTTAAAACTTTAGGGTTTTCTGAATTTATAGGACATTGACTCTTGAATAATATTCACTATTAAACCTAAGTATCTTTTATTTATTTTTTATTTTATTATTTATATATTTTTTGAGAGAGTTTTGCTCTGTCACTCTGGGTAGAGAGCAGTGGTGTCATGGTAGCTCACTGTAGCCTCATATTCCTGGCCTTAAGCAGTCTTCCTGCCTCAGCCTCCCAAGTAACTGGGACTACAAGTGTGTGCTAACATATCCGGTTAATTTTTCTATTTTTAGTAGAGATGAGGTCTCACTCTTGCTCAGGCTGGACTTGAATTCCTGAGCTCAAGCACTCCTCCCACCTTGGCCTCTCAGAGTGCTAGGATTATAGGCATGAGCCACCATACCTGGCCTATTTTTTTTTTTTAGAATGGAAACTTGTAGCTCACATTTTCTTCAGTGTAGAAAAAGAATCCATGGGATAGTTTAAATCATATACTTTGTGATACTAAACAGTATTTTAAAATTACAGTAGCTATTCATTCAGCTCCCTGTTTTGTTTCTTTTTTTAGAGACGAGGTCTCGCTATATTGTCCAGGCTGGCCCGAAATCTTGGGCTCAAGTGATTCTCCCACCACAGCCTCCCAAGTAATTGGGATTGTAGGCACACACCACTATGCCAAGCTTATTTTTTCTTCAGAATTACTAATGTATAAGTTGTTTAAGAGTGAGAGTAATTGAATCCTTATTCTCCTAGCTAATTTTGGAATTTATCAATGGAAAGAAAATATCAATGTACTGAGAGTTTCATTTCATTTCTTCTTCCTCTTTTATTTTTTTCTGTTTCTTAAGTGCTTACCTTTCTACACTCCTTTTAGGGCATTTGCTTTTCCAGGCAGATGTAAGTACTGCCAAGGCCTGGCTCAGTAGAGTCAAGGCTGTGTAGGTGATTGGATGGAAGTGGCTTATTGTGTAGATCTCCACTCTCATGGGCAATGGGAAACCTGCCCTGGCCTTGATCTTGGCCCCACTCTTGGTGCCGCTTCCTGACCGCTCGGTCAACAACTAGAGCTTTGGGAAAGAGCATTTTATTCCTTCAACTAGTGTCTGTCAGGTGCTTATGTGCCAGGCCCTATTTTTGGTGTTTGGAATTCAATAGTAAAGAAGACAAGATCTCTACCTTCCAGGAGGAGGCCTAGATTTAATAAAAAGTAAATTAAAAAACAGATGAGATAATTTTAGGTAATGATAAAGTAATAATAAAGGCTGTAAAAACATATAAAATTAGAGAAATAATTAAGAAAGATCGGGTGGTAGGATAGGGTGGAGAGGCTACTTCATATACACTGTCAAGGAAGCCTCTCTGAGGAGATGATGTGTGAGCAGAGACCAGAATGACAAAAATGAGCCAACTCTGTCAAGGTGTAGGGAAAGACAGAAGAGGCAGAGGGACCGTTAAGCTCAGGACCTGAAAGCAGGACGAGCTTGGCATGTGAGTGAGCAAGGTGGTTGGGGAGAGGGGAGTGGCCAGCGATGCTCTCAGTGAGGCAAGCAGGGCCACGTCAAGAGGGACTTCCCAGGGTATTGTGAGGGGCTCATTCTCAGACCCCTAAAGTATAGTGGGACAGTGGAAGGAGAAGCTCAGAGGCCAGATGGTTGGTGATTGCGGTAGCCAGAGGAGAGGTGATGAGGCAGTGGCAGTGGGGAGTGGGGGAGGTGATAGACTTGTGGAGAAAAGTGCACACTCGGTACTCCTGGGCACTCTTGGGACGTTTGAAGCAACTCAGTGTTCTCAGCTCTTCACAGACTTCTTCCTGGGACTCACTGAGCACGAGCAGCCCCCCTTTAGCCACCTATTTCGTCCACCACACACCGTTTCATTTTCTAACATTAAGTGAGAGAGAAAGCACAGTATGATTAAAGGAAGTAAAAGGATTGTAATAAAAGAGTTATAACCCCAGATTGTCAGAAGCTCTTGGAATTAGGTTTCTTAGGGGACCTTGCGTATTCCCCAAACAACAGCTTGGATTAAAACAACAGCTTCTTTTTATAAGGTGAAGCTCCTTTCCAAGTAGTCTACAGAAGATATTGCTGCTAGGCTTGGGTGTGTTTTCACAATCGGTATTAGGCATTGCCAATGTCTTGGTTATAAAGGTGGTTCTAGGCCAACCCTCTTTGGTGTCTGGTACATACGATATGAATCACTTAGACTTTCGAAACTGAAGATGGGGGAGCCTTGATCAGAAAACATAAAGAAGCCATATGCGATGTCTCCATCTGTGTTTTAAAATCCTTATACCTTTCCCAACAGTGTCTGCTGCACAGAGCTTTGCATCCGCAGGAGCCTCTGCCCCCAATTCAGCAGCACGTTTTGAATATGCTGGATCCCCCCACTGAGGTGACAGCAAACTGTCAGATTCCTCTCTCTAAAATAAAGACCCTTTTCCCTCTGACTGAAGCCATCAAGAAAAAGGATCAAGTAACTGCTCAGGATATTTTCCAAGACAAGTAAGTACTCAACAGAGTTGCATTGAACATTGGAATATGTAAGATTAGTAGTAGTTTTGGCATGGCTCTGAAATCAGGGTGTTGCTCACGGATCTATGGAATCACAAGAGAGAGAGGAAGAAACTCATGCCATTTGGCCCTTGCATTAAAATATTGATTTCTTCTATCTGTCCACTATGGTCATATTTTATCCTTGCTGTTGACCTGGAATTTAGAGCTACTTACTGGGTTGCTGACATTTTGATCAGCGTCAGATTCTTGGTGAATTATATATAGGAAGGCTAAGCCAAGTTTTTTAATATCTAAGGCTAAATTTTACCCTTTTTGAAGTAAGATGCTAAGGATGAGAGGAGAGTATTGAAGGTCATAGTTTTTTTTTTTGGTTGGGAGGTTAGATGTCAGGACTATCAATGAGATTTTTTGAGGAAAAGGAGAATGAAAAATGTAGCCTTTTTTAGCTGTTTTATTAGGTATCAGTGATATAGTTGGTTATGCCATTTGGGAGATAATTGTAGTTTAAGGATTGCAGAATGCTTTTCATGTAATCCTTAAATCAAGCTTTAAGTGGCTATTATGTATTTTCCCTCATCAGATTCTAAACACAATCTGTAGCCATGTCCATTCAAAACAAAAATAAAAATAACCCAGAAGATACTGTTCTTGATTATCCAGAATTATTTGGATATGTAACATTGATTTTACTAGCTGTAGGTCAACTGGTTATGGGTGACTTTTTTCTCACACCAGAATAATCTATATATTTCTTTAGCTGTATTTTGAGATCTGGTGTTAGATCATGATTCTTTGCTTTGCTTTGCTTTGCTTTGCTTTGCTTTGCTTTGCTTTGCTTTGCTTTCTCTTTCTCTGTTTTTTTTTTTTATTTCCTCACCACAGCTATATCTTTATTAACAAAGTTTATTATTTATAAATACCCCAGTGGAAGAGTACTGAGTAATTTCCAGAAACCTTCACAAGTTTCTATAATCATTGATTTAGAGAATTGTTGTCTAACTTGAAGAGAAATATTTGTGTTTTCTGTGGCTTTCTAGAGGTTAACACTCTGAGCTTTGTCAGAATTCTAAAAAATGTACTTGACAGATTGTATCATGTGTATTCCTGACACATCCTGGAGAGGTTTATATTCCTTTTTAGTCTACCATGCCTTGTTCTTTAGGGACATAGGAAGAGTGTCCCTAAAAATCCACTTTCTCTTCTCTGCTGTCCTCATCTGCCTGCATGCCTCTGGATTAGTGTTTTAGAACAATTCAATAAAAGTCTTTGGCCTTTTCTTCCCGTGATACCTTGCTCCAGGCTCACTGCAATCACCCTGCTATTCGCTCTGTACGTATTAAAACTCTAGTTCATGATCTTGATTACCTTCTGGTGATGTGGGAAAGAAATGGACCATTTCACCCTCCTCTCTTTGATTAAAATGTAAATTAGCTGATTAAAAAAACACACCACACAGATTCAGAAGGCTGTTGTTCTATGATTTGATCCCTGCTGTGGATTGCACCTTGGGCTCTAGTCCTGCCTCTTACTCTTCTGGAAGCTTGGGTGTGCTGGGCTCTTGTTCATTCCTCCCATAATGTTTTGCAACACAGCCAAGTTATCTGCCTGGGGCCTGAGAATTATCTCACTTACACACACCTACTCACACTCCTGTTCTACCCCCTTTCTTCTCAGAAATCTCAGTTTTTAAGAACGGTAGAAATGATGCATTTAACAAATATTTGAGGGCCTCCTGTATGCAAGAAGAATGCTTCAAGTCATTCTTCTGCAAGGTTCTTAAAACCCTCAAATCTCTACGATAAGGGCTCCAATCAGTTTTAGAGGTAGTTCCTGGAAGGAAAAAAAAGAAAACCTGCTAACAATTAGCAGTATTTTTGTGTGGATTAATCATCCCTGTATTCAGGGTACTTATTTTCAGTGGAGGGATGAGGGGAAGATTGAGGAGTTGGCTGAAGTCTGCTGAGGAAGTTTCATAGTCTTAAGACAAGAATCCTGAGCAGAAAATCACTATTTTTCATTAGTATTTTGCCATTCTTGATCTGATTTTGATTAAACAATTTTACCTTTATGAGATCTTCTCCATTGAAAAGCAGCCTCCTCTCAAGAGATATTATAGCAATGAAATCACAGATATTAAAGCATTTTGAGCTATAGATATACTTCACTTAACAATGGGATACATTCTAAGAATTGCATCATTAGGCAATTTCATCATCATGTGAACATCACAGTGAATGTACTTATACAAACCTAGATTTTATAGCCCACTACACACCCAGGTTACAAGCCTGTACAGCATGTTACTGTACTGAATACCGTACATGCTTAATTGTAACAGAGTGGTATTTTTGTATCTAAACATATCTAAAGATAGAAAAAAAAAAAGGAAAGGTAATGCACTGCACTGTGATGTCATGATGACTGCAGTGTCATTAGGGTATGGGAGTATTTCAGCTCCATTATAATCTTACAGCACCACTGTTGTATATGCAGTTTATCATTGACTTATGTGACACATGAATATACTAGAGGAAAGGTGGTAGTCAAAACCTAAAATAGTATCATCAATAAAAATGAACATTTGAGAAGGTCTGATGTTTATCTTGAGCCTGTTGAATATCTAGTGTTAGAGGTGATCTCTTCATTTCAAGCAGATAAGAGCACTATTTGATATTGTCCCCAAATATACTAAATATTACCTTTATCATATAAAAGCACTGCTTCCTGGCCGGGCGTGGTGGCTCATGCCTGTAATCCTAGCTCTCTAGGAGGCCGAGGCGGGCGGATTGCTCAAGGTCAGGAGTTCAAAACCAGCCTGAGCAAGAGCGAGACCTCGTCTCTACTATAAATAGAAAGAAACTTAATTGGCCAACTGATATATATATAAAAAAAATTAGCCGGGCATGGTGGCACATGCCTGTAGTCCCAGCTACTTGGGAGGCTGAGACAGAAGGATCGCTCGAGCCCAGGAGTTTGAGCTTGCTGTGAGCTAGGCTGACGCCATGGCACTCACTCTAGCCTGGGCAACAAAGTGAGACTCTGTCTCAAAAAAAAAAAAAAAAAAAAAAAAGCACTGCTTCCTTTAATATTGATGTACATCCTTGAAATAAAAATATCATCTCTTGGACAGGGAACTTGCACGAGAACTAGGACACCTAGGGTCTAATCCTGCTTGCACAACTGATGCAGACATGATCTTGAATTCCGTTTGTCTCTATGCAGATAAGCTAAAGTTTTCTGCTCTTTCAAGTCTCCTAAGACTCCTCCCTACATAATCTCAGCAGACAGCCTCACTTGGTTAATGGTTAAGACTTAAGACTCCAGAGTCAGCCAGTGTGAGTTGGTCCTCTTGCTCTGCAGCTTGATTAGGCATGGATTGCTTATCTTCTCTAAGCCTCAGCTTCCTCATGGGTAAAATAGGGATAGTAGGCATGTCTGTCCTGTAGGGCTGTCATGGGGGTAAATTGAGCCATATGATATGCTGTTCGCTGTTGTATCCCTAGCACCCAGCACAATGATTTTAAAAGGTCTAGTCACGTCCCTGGCACATTAGTGATAACAAGGACGATGATGGTGTTGGTGATGATTTCATAGAGAAAATAGAGGCCCATAAGTGGGAACTCCTCAATTTTCAGGCCAATCTTATCCAAAAATGTATGTTTTTGCATATGCCTTTACTTCCTTCTTTCCTCTCTCAGTGAAATAGGGCACCTCATTCTGTCTACAGTGAATCCCTTCACCTATGCCCTGGGATCCCTTTTTCTGTTTTATCTAATACCTTAGTCCACTAAGAATTTTTTTTCTTTCTATATTTCCAGCTTCTCCCTCTCTACCAGCTCCTTTCTTTCCTCATGTTAACATCTCGTTCATCTAAAACAAAATAAAATAGTGCCCCCCAGCTTCCTTCCTCTAATTACTACCTGTTACTAGTTTTATAATTATTATCTTTCCTTCCAGAAGCCAGGTTATTGGAAGAACAGTCTACACTGCTTCTTTTCTTAGCTGTCATTCTCTTGGGCTTCTACCCCCGCCACTTCCTTGAAACTAGTCTTCTAGAAGACACTAACCACTCGGTTCGCTTCAGCTTTGCAGGCCTTTTCTTTCCTGACTTCTTTGTAGGACTTGACATTGTCAATGATTCTTTCTCTCTCTTTTTTATGTATGTATTTATTTTTTTTTAATTATTATTATTTTTTTTTTGAGACAGAGTCTCGCATTGTTGCCCAGGCTAGAGTGAGTGCTGTGGCGTAGCTCACAGCAACCTCAAACTCCTGGGCTCGAGCAATTCTACTGCCTCAGCCTCCCAAGTAGCTGGGACTACAGGCATGCACCACCATGCCCGGCTAATATTTTCTATATATATTAGTTGGCCAATTAGAAATAATAAAAAAACTCCTTCAAAAAAACCTTTTAATTTGTTCTTTTATAAACCTAATTTTGTTTTGGGCGATATGCTAACAGAGTCCAAAAGCAGCTGTGTGCTAAGGGAAAGATGACTCTGAGAAAGTGTATCAAACATCTTGCCTCAAGGAACACGCTGGCTTTAACAGCCTGCCTTAAAGTCAAGAGGAGGTGAAGTTATTGCAAAGGAGAAGAAAATCAAATCCAAAGACTAGGTCCATAATCTCCCTTAAAATGCAGACCATAAGATTTTTCTCCAGAGAAACAATAAGCAATCTGGAACAAAAGCAGCAGTCAAGAAATGGCCGAATGATAAGAGAAATTAGTAACCAATATCTAGTATTTGTTTTTTATAAATTATTTTAATGACTAATAAAAATTGTGTGTTTATCATGTACAATATGTTTTAAAATATATATACTTGTGAGTG